GTGCGCAGGCGCACCTGACGCACTCTGCACGTGCCCCGAACGTGGCGCACCTGGCGCGGCTGGAGTATGCAGCACAGCTGGCGCACTCGGAGCACGTGGCGCATCTGGCGCACCAGGCGTGCCTGGCACGCTCGGGCCCCAGGGGTGCTTGGCGCGCATGGCGCCCCTGGCGCTCGTGGCGCACCTCGCCGGAGCGTCGCGCACCTGGGGTCGGCTTTGGTTCTCAGTAGCTGTCTGTACAGAGACGACCGCTGAACATGATCAGGCTCGGGTGTTACCTATGTGTTTGGAGGGCGGGTGGGAGTGAGCTAGACGGCTTGCGGGGGGTGGGTAGCTTGACCCCTCCCCTACCCCTACCCTGGGCCTGGGAAGGGGGCGGGCACGGAGGGGTTTGAGCGCCCATGATGGCCCAAGATGGCTCCAAGAGGGTCTCAGGGAGCCCACGATGGCCTCCAAGTTTGCTCCAGATGCCTCAAGATGGCCCAAGATAGCCTCCGAAGCACATCCAAGAGGCCTCCAGACAGACGGCCCCAGACGGTTTCAAGTGCCCTTCCGAGCCCTCCAAGGACCCCCCCACAGAGGCCAACTTGGCTCCGAAACCGAAGGAAAACCAATGTGTTTTGCCTTCTCGTTTTTTCGCTTCCGCTGGGCTCTTGAGGCCTTAGCCCCACGACGGCCTTAGAGAGCCCCAGGAGGGCCCAAGAGGGCCCCAAGAGTGTCCCAAGAGCGCCCCCAAAGCGCCCCAAGAGGGCCTCAAGACGAAATGTTTGAGCCTCCAAGAAGGGGGGGTCCTGAATTTCCGGCCTTCCACTTTTTGAATCACGGGGGCCACGATGGCCCCAAGAGGCCTCCCAGACCCCCCAACGAGTCCCAAGAGGGCCCCAAGAAGGCCCCAAGAGAACCCCAAGAGGGTCCCAAGAGTGCCTCTAGAGGCTCCGCGAGGACCCCAAGAGAGTCCCAAGATGGCTCCACGAGAAAACGCTTCCAAGGCGACTGTTGCACTGCACTTTTCTACACTTCCCTGATGAAGGCAGCTCGCCTGGCGATCTGCTGCTGGATGAGCTGGTGGGGAGACTTCTGGCACGCAGGCGCACGATGCGAGGCGGACGCCGGGCAAGCAGGGGCAGGCAATGCCACCCGCGCAGGAAAAGACAGGGCTGCGAGCAGCGCCGGGGCGAGGCGGAGCTCAGCGCGGCCAGAATGGCGCGAGAGGGGCGGAGCGGCACCAGAACCACGACGTGGCTGGTGGGGATGCGCGAAAGCGTCAAGAGTGCCGGATGGCCACGTGCAAGAACTAGAGCGGGCGAGCACCGCGCCGAGGGCACCCCCAGTGGATTTGCCAACATGCCGTGATGCCCGAGCCTCCTCCGCCCTCGCTCCCTCGCCTGCCCGCTGCCGAATGCCTCGGGCTCGCCGCCCGCACTCTGGGAACAAAAAAGGGCGAGAAGAAGCGGGCGCAGGACGGAGCCAGCAGCGCCCTGGCCCAGCTCGAGCATCGGGCCGGGAGCCGCTGCTCCACAGCGCGTCGCGCCGCGGCGCCCCGGCGACGCGCTGTCCCCTGCGAGCGGACAGCCTGCTGCTCCGCTCCGTGGGGCGGGCGGTCCGGCGAGGCTCCGGACAGCGGCGCGCCTCGGGGCCGCGAGGTGGCCCGGCGTGCCGCGCCGACGCGCGGCGGGCCAGAGCCGGCGGAGCGGCAGGCTGTCCAAAAGCACCCGCCCGCGGTGTCCGTGCAGGAGGCGTCGCCGCGCCGCTCGTTCTCGACGCGCCCGAGTGGACGACACCGGCACCTGACTGCCTTCCAAGCCACCCCAACCAACCCCGAAGACCCGAAACTCGCCTGGAGTTCGGGCTGGGCGGGGGGGGGGAGGCGGGCTTCATGTGTGTTCTTCCAACGTTCCCCGACCCACCCCCCACTGGAAGTGGAGGGCAAATCGGGGCCTTCGGGTTGGGTTGGGGTGGTTTGGTGGGCGGTGAATGCCGCGGCAAACCCGCGGCAAAGCCTGCGTCCCGCAGGCCCAGGGGGACGACGACGGCGCCGCGGCAAAGCCCACGGCAAGCCCCGCCGCGCCCAAGGGGTGGCGTCTGCCCTGTGGAACGCGCCCTCGCCGAAGCGCAGGGCCGCGCGTGGGAACAACCTGCCATCGCTCGGGCGTCCATTAACCCCGTGCATGTGTTGGCGTCGTACGCTCGTGAGGGGGCCCAGGGACACACAGGTAAATACACACAAGTCCCAGGATCCCCCATATATTCCCACATGTTCTGGGTGTTCGTCTTCCCCCCTCCACACTTCCCATATTTTCCTTTAGTTTCCTGGGCATCGACGATTGATTGTGTCCGTGTGTTTTTGCCCCCTCCTGACATGTGTCGGCGTCGTGCGCTTGCTTTCCCGCGAGACGAGCCGAGGTGCTCCTCGATGGCCCTCGCCGAGGGAACAGAAGCACGCCCGGGCGATGCCAAGGCAGGCGGCGTGGCGACAGGTACCTTCGGGTTGGGTTGGGGTGGTTTGGTGGGTGGTGACAGGGTGGAGGAGGGGGACTTCTGGATGGCGACGCCGACGAAGCGCACAGCCTGCCAGCAGCTGGAGAAGGGGGAGGGCGGGAGGGCGCACGGCAGGGTGACGGGAGAGCACCTGGCCTTGGCCCAGGGCAGGCAGCTGGGTGAGAGCCAGGCCTCCCGGCAGCGGCAGCCGTCGAGGCGTGTGGGCAGCGCCATGCCGCGAGGCAAAAGCTCGGAGGCAACACTGCCAAGGTCAGAGCCGCAGTGCAGTTCCACTCCAGGCGCACGGAAAGGGCCACTCACGCGTGGCGGTATCGCTTGTGCCCTGCATGGTCGCGCGCCACACGTGGAGGCCAGGCTCGTAGGGCCGAATGGGGAGAGAAAGAGCACAGGGAATCCGGAGGGACTTCAGGGAGAGGATCCGACTCAGCAGCGTGCACCTGCACATGCCGTGCACGAATCTCCCAGACAGCCACTCCCGCCAGCAGCGCGCAGAAAGGGGTGGGGTACTGCGTGGTGCGCCACCCACCCTGATGATTGCGTCCACGCAGAGTGTGGTGCGCGTGACTGCGATCGCATCGTGCTCGGGCGCGCACACAGTCTAACGCCCACGCAAGAGAAAAGGCAGGCATACCGCACGCGCTCATGGGTTTGGGCGCCGTGGCCCCAATCACGAATTGGTCGATGGTGTGCCTCTGCACGTGCTGAAGGGAGCAAAATAATCGAGGCTCGGGTAAACTCCAGCAGCTCGGGGTCTCGGGGACCGACTCGGATATCACCGGATGCTCCATTACGGCCGCAGCATGGCGTCTGAGACACAGGAAGAGAAATCAATGCATGTCCCGAAGAAGGCGTTCCAAACTTCTCATCCTCATCCTGCTCTTCCTCCTCCTCCTCCTCCTCCTCCTCATCCTCCTCCCCAACCTTGCCCTGCGACCGTAACCATTTTGGCTCGATGCTCAGGTGAGAAGCCCTCGTTGGCCCGCAGCATCTTCGGATCGGCACGCGCTGGGCGTCCAACCGCAGACGGGCACCGCCGCCTGCAGTGTACGCAGCTAAGCACCGGAATCGGTGACAGTGGTGCCAGTTGCGCGCTCGTCTTCTGCGACTGCCCTGACCCGCGCTCCCCGATGCCGCTCCTCCCGAGCAGCCCCAGTGGGCGTGTCAGGAGGTCGCAGCTCGGTACCCCCACCAGCGCCACGACCGACAGCAGCGCCCAGCTGGAGGGCCCCTCCGCACTGCCCCCATCGCCCATCTGGCCCGCTGGCCACCAGAGGCTGAAGCGCCGAGTGCGCCCGGGGCAGCGGCGCGTCGGCAGGGCTGCCTGGCCCCTGCTGCCCGCGCCGCCAGGCAGCAGGGAGCTCGAAGGAAGCATGCGCGGCGCGCGCGCGCGGTCGAGCGCGCACTCCCCTTCGGCAACTGGCGTGGCGGCGTGGGCGGGTGCGCCGCCGAGCTGGCAGGGAGCACTGCACCGCGAGAGCGCGCCGCGGCCTCGGCAGCACTCGGAGCGAGGAGCGGCCCGCCCTGGGCACCGCCACGCCTGGGGCCCTGCTCCGCTTCGTAGGGCGACGCAATCTATACATATCCACTGCTCCCTGGCCAGGCCCATCCTGAACACAGCAGCTGTGTATACGCCACGCCCTCCTGGTTTGGCCAGGAGGGCGCATACACAGCTCCTGGGTTCAGGAAGGGCCTGGCCAGGGAGCAGTGGATGTGTATAGACTTCGTCCCCCGAGCTTCGGCGGCAACCCGTGCCGGCGGCGCGCACAGTGGGGTAGGGGGAAAGGGAGGAAGGCTTCTTAGAAGGAGGCCGCTTCTGAGAAGGCGCCGGCCTCACGTCTGCAGAGGTAAGGGCCGCGCCGTCGGAGAAGCAGGGGTGCTTCTAGGGAGCCTTCCCCCCCTCCCCCTACCCCCTCTGCGCGTGGCCGAGCTTCGGTGGCAACTCGTGGGAGCCTCCCTTGCCGTCTTGCTGCTTCTTGCGAGTCGACGCTGACCGACGCTAAATCGACGCCAATCGACGCTACATCGGCGCTACCTCAAAGATTGCCAGACGCTAGCGCGCGTTCTAAGACGGAGTTACGAGGACGTGCAATGCTCCCACGAGTTGCTACCGAACTCGGCGGTCGGGGGTGGTGGTGCTGGACGGGGTCGTGGCGCCCCCCACCCCGGCGCGGCTTGGCCGCTGGCTGGGAGGGCGGCTCGTCTCCTTCAGCGAGGGGGGCAACCGCCCTCCCCTATCGGAAATGGCCACAGCGCCGGCTCAGCGGACGAGACCCCTCCGCCGCGTTTCCCTCAACCCACCTCCGACCTCCAACTACCTCCCCCTCTGCTCGTCCTCGTCCGCGGCCTCCTCCTCCTCCTTCTCTTCGTGCTCCTCCTCCTCCTCCTCCTCCTCGTGCTCTTCCTTCTCGTGCTCCTCCTCCTCCTCCTCCTCCTCTTCCTCCTACTCCTTCTTCTTCCTATCCTCTTGCTCGTGAGCCTCCATCGCTTCACACGCCGTGGGCCTGAGACCGGTGACGCGCACGCGGCGGCCGATGCTCAGCTCCCGAGTGCCCTGGGCCAGGCCCGGAGGAAGGGACTGCAGACGGGCGCCGCTCCTGCCCTCTGCCTTCCGCTGCCAGGGCGGTGTGTGTGTGTGCGTGTGCGTGTGTGTGATTGCGTGTGCGCGTGCGTGCGTGTGCGTGTGCGTGTGCGTGTGCGTGCGTGCGTGCGTGTGTACGTGTGTGCTTGTGCGTGCGGGTGTGCGTGCGTGTGCGTGTGTTTGTCTCTGTGTGTGCGTGCGTGCGGGCGGGCGGCCTTGCGGGCGGGCGGACGGGCGCGCGGGCGGGCGGGCGGGCGCGGCGCGCGCGCGCCGCGTGTGTGTGTGTGTGGTGTGTGTGTGTGTGTGTGTGTGTGTGTGTGTGTGTGTGTGTGTGTGTGTGTGTGTGTGTGGGTGTGTGTGCGTGCGTGCGTGCGAGTGTGCGTGTGGTGTGTGTGTGTGTGTGTGTGTGCGTATTTCGCCAGCGCAGTGACTCTGCCTAGCCGCCGACGGAAGAAACGTGTGTGCGTGTGTGTATGTGTGTGGTGTGTGTGTGCGTGTGTGTGTGTGTGTGTGTGTGTGCGTATTTCGCCAGCGCAGTGACTCTGCCTAGCCGCCGACGGAAGAAACGTGTGTGCGTGTGTGTGTGTGCGTTTGTGTGTGTGCGTGTGTGTGTGTGGTTGTGTGTGCGTGTGTGTGTGCGTGTGTGTGTAGGTGTGTGCGTGTGTGTGTGTGCGTGCGTGTATGTATGTATGTATGTATGTATGTATGTATGTATGTATGTATGTATGTATGTATGTATGTATGTATTTATGTATATATGTGTGTGTGTGTCTGCGTGTGTCTGTGCGTGTGTGTGCGTGTGTTTGGAAGGGTCCGTCTGCTCCTGCTCGTGCCTCTGCTCCTGCTGCTGCTGCCCCTGATGGTGCTGCCCCTCGTCCTCCTGTTACTCTCTACTCTCTAATCCTCTTCGGCCTGCCGCCGCCCAAAGAAAGCTAACAAAACGTGCCAATCGCCCGGGTCCAGCGCTCCTCTCGGCGGGAGAATGGCGGCACGCGTCTTCGGCCAGCCCCTCCCCCTCTCGTTCCTTCCCTGCTCCCGCCCCTCTTCATCTCTTTCGCCCTATCCCTCTCCATTTGTCCTTCGCCAGCTCCCCACCCCCCATGCGCGCTCTCCCTCTTTCACCCCCTCCCCCTTCTCCTTCCCCTTTCCCGCGTCCCCACACGCCAGAACACATGAAGCCAGCGTAGAGGTTTTAAGGGAGGGAGAGAGGGAGGGAGGCGGATGATGATGATGATGATGATGATGATGATGATGATGATGATGATGATGATGATGATGATGATGATGATGATGATGATGATGATGATGATGATGATGATGATGATGATGATGATGATGATGATGCGAAGGAGGCGATAAGAGAAGGAGGGGGATAACGAGGAAGGGGGGGACCCGTTCCATGTGGGGGCTGCGGTGAAGGCGGAGGATGTTGAGCAGCAGCAGCAGCAGCAAAAGGATTGACGGGTAGGAGGAGGAGGGGGATAGGGGTTCTTGCGTTTGTTGCTGTATTGCTGTTGTCTCGAGACCGTTAGGGACCTGGAGAGGAGGTGCCGAAGGAGAGGGGAGGGGAAGGGAAGGAATGGAAAGGTAAGCCACCTCCCTCTCGTCGTCGTCCTCCTCCTCCTCCTCCTCCTCCTGCTGCCGCTGCCTCCTCACCCTCCTCCTCCCCCCTCCACCTCCTCCTCCTCCTCCTCCTTCTCCCTCCTCCCCCTCCTCCTCCTCCGTTCCTTCTCCCTCCTCCTCCACCATTGCACAATCAAAATACTACTCCCCTCTCTCCGCTGACTCTGTCCGGAAGATGTTCGGCCCCCCTCCGCGTACTGCTTCTTTACACACAAGATTCCGACGAATTGGTCTTTCATATGTATTGATACACATCCGTTACTTTCCGGTCCTTCAAATTGTTGCTCCCGTTACAGCGCTAGCCTCATTTTCGGGCTTCCGCTCGTTCCGAATCGTGTTCCCGCTACAGCGCTGGCCTCATTTCCCCGCTTCCGCTCGTTCCAAATCATGCTCCCGCTGCAGTGTTGTCCTCATTTCCGCGCTTCTGCTCGTTCCGAATCGTGCTCCCGCTGCAGCGCTGACCTCATTTCCAGAGCCATGCCATGGCATGCAATGCAATGCTATGGTGTGTTCTGCTGTGCGATGCCATGCCTTCAGCTGCAATGCTATGATATGCAGTGCATGGCTACGCAATGCCACGCCATGCTATGTCATGCTACGCGTTGATCTTCAACGCCATGTTATGCCATGTAATGCAGTGCCATGCTGCGACATCCGACTGCGCGAACAGCGAGGAGATCTACGCCATGGTAAGAGATGGGAGGGAGGGATATGAAGTCAGATAAGACGCTTGCGCACTTCGCTTGCCCTCTTCCTCATCCCTCTTCCCCCGTCCTCCGCCGCCTGTTCCCACCCCTTCCTCCTGGCACTGCTGCCACTCCTCCGCCCGCCCTCCCTGTTGCCCCCCTGCCCTGCCGCCCCTCCCACTGGCACTCCTGCGGGGGCGGCAGTCGACCACAACCATATCGAGGACGCACCCTGGGTGATGCTTTGTGCATGCCAACCAATCGCCAGAGCATCGAAACCAGTTTAGCGACCTGGCTGTGGTCGATGTGAGCATCATAGACGGCCAAATCGACCACGACCACAGCCAAAGCGCTCATGCCGAGGTCGGTGGGTCCTCCCCCGAGGGGCCCTCTGGACAAATCCCCTCGATTGTTGCTGTGGCTCTTGGCTTCGCCCGGAACTCCACTCCCTCCTCCCGTCCCCCCAACCCTGGCGAAGGGGGAGGCGGGGGTGCAGGGTGGGGGGGGGGCGGGACGCACGCCCACAGCACCAGCAGCAGCAGCAGCAGCAGCAGCATCAGCAGCAGCAGCAGCAGCAGTCGGTCAGTGCCCAGGCAAGAGAGGGCCGGCGTGGCGGCAGCCACGAGGGTGCCACGCCACGCAGGGCAGGCACTCCTGCCCAGAGGTCGCCCCGGGAGGCCCCCTGCAGGCAGACGGGCGAACGCCCCCCCGGAAACACCCCAAGCCTCACAGAAACTTCGATCCTGTACAGTATTCGGCCTGACCCAAGGAACGATGAATAAGGAACGAGGCCCCTTTTTTCCAGGTGAATCTAGAACATCCGAAGAAACACCAGGGGGTCCCGCCGCCAAAAAGGTAGCGGAACTCATGCAAGCCCAAGGAACGACCGAGCCCCTTTTGAAAAATAGGTGTTCCTTATTCAAGCCGGACCCTGTATCCTGGATTCTCCTGGTGGGGGCGCCCTCCGCGTGTAGTACAAGTTTGAGCACCGATCCCGAAGGTGACTGCGCACCGTCGTTCCCGCAGCCGTGTCCCAACGACTTCAATGATGAGGGCCACCCGCGCACCCACACGTGTGTGGACCACCACGATGAGACAGCATAAACTGAGCGCTGGCCTCAACGCGCAGGCGACACCTCGAGCATGGACTGAAACGTTCACGCACCCCCCAGAGACGTCCTCACACTGAGGGCACAATCCCAAGTGGGCGTACCACTCCAGACCCCCTCGAGTCATGAAAAAAACTCGACGGACGGTCTTCCTTCATTGATGGGCGAGGAGGAGGAGAAGGAGGAGGAGGAGGAGAAGCGGAGGAGGAGGAGGAGGAGGAGGAGGAGGAGGAGGAGGAGGAAGGGGGAGAGGGGGGGAGGAGGAGGAGGAGGAGGAGGAGGAGGAGGAGGAGGAGGGGAGGAGAAAGGAAGCGGAGGAGGAAGGAGGAGAGGAGGGGGAGGGAGGAGGAGGAGGAGGAGGAGGAGGAGGGAGGAAAGGAGGAGGAGGGAGGAGGAGAGGGAGAGGACGAAGCGGAGGAGGAGAAATACAGAGGAGGAGGAGGAGGAGGATGAGGAGTGAGGAGGAGAAAGGGGGAGAGGAGGATGAGGGGGAGGGGGAGGAGGAGGAGGAGGAGGAGTGAGGAGGAGGAGGAGGAGGAGGAGGAGGAGGAAGGAGGAGGAGGAGGAGGTAGGAGGAGGAGGAGGAGGAGGAGAGGAGGGGGAGGAGGAGGAGGAGGAGGAGGAGGAGGAGGAGGAGGAGGACGTCGTTTCGTGTCGGGTCGTGCTGTCGCCCTTGCCCCCGGTCGGTTGTCGCGTTCGCGTCCGTTCGGGTTCTGCTGTTTCTTCGCCTTGTGGCTTCTCTTTGTTGTTACCTCTCCCCGTTCCCCTTCCTTCGCCTTCTGGCTCATGTCGGAGGGCACCATGCCTTAAAAGCTTACCCAGGGGCCCAAGTCACACTCGTTTGCTGGCGTGGCGTTCCAAAAGGGTGGGCGCAGCGAAGGAGAAACACATCAGCAAAAAGGTACCAGATGGGCAAATTCCTTGAGACGCACGCTCTCGCGCACCTGCGTGGGAAGACATTCGGCGAGCCTGCTCGCATGCCGCCAGGTGCGCCGGCCTGAACATCTTTCTGCTCCCGTCGTCCATCATGACCTTTTTGGGCGAGCCCTCATGTTAAACTAACTTCGTTGAAACCACGTCAAGACGCCGCCAGGGCTTTGGCAGGGCTTCAATTGAATTTTGGGTAGGGTGTCTTCTGAAAAGCCAATCGCTTGGGGGAAGGGCGAAAGGAACTTCCGAGGCAAGGTCCAAGCAGACCTTCCAACGCCCCTCGCCTGCGTCGAACTCGACCGCTGTGCCGAGCTGCCCATTCAGATGAGACTGAGCACTGATGCCGGAAACGACGACGCGCGATCCTGGCGCAATTGTCTCGAAAGGTTCAGCGCTGGCCGATTCGGAGAGATGCTGCGGGTCGCCAGGGCTGCTTGCTGGCGCCAGCTCCGACTTGGCAGCCGCCAGTGCTGCAGGTGCCGAGTCACTCACTGTCAAATTCGTCACCTTGAGCAGCTTCCCGCTCCCGTCGTCCATCGCCACTTTCCACCGCTGCTCGTTCACGTCGAATTCGACTGCTCTGCCGAACTGCCCATTCAGGTGAGGCTGAGCCTTGATGCCTGACAAAACGACGCGCGACCCAGGCACGATCGCAGGAGGGGCTCCTGTACCAACTTCGCTAGAGCAGTACTCGTTGCTGACACTGCGGCTACCAAAGTGATCTAGATTCGACCCTGCAGGTGTTGTGGGCGCTCGGTCTGTCACAACCAGATTAGCTGCTCGCAATAGCTTCCCGCTCCCGTCATCCATAGCCACTTTCCATCGCCCCTCTGCCTCATCGAAATCGACGGCCGTGCCAGACATGCCATTCATGTGAGGCTGCGTCTTGAGGCCGGCCAGTGTGACCCTCGATCCAGGTACGATTCCATGACCAGCTTCTTCAGCACAAGTCACCTCAGAAAAAATAGGAACAGGAACTGTTGGCATCCGCTCGCACAAAGAAATGTTTGCTGGTCTGAACATCTTCCCGTCTCCGTTATCCATCGCTACTTTCCATCGGCATTCTGCCTTGTCGAACTCGATCGCCGTGCCGATTTGGCCATTCAGATGAGGCTTGTCCTTGATGCCAGACACGATGACACGCGATCCTGACGTGATCTCTGGCCCGACCTCCGCAGCGCCAATGCTCCCAGCAGAAGGCTCGATGCCTTGGAGCCCCGATCGCGGCTGATCCAACGCCCGACACCGATCGCGATCCAGCCGGACCGGTCCAGCCCAAACCGCAAAGCAAGACATTGATCGATGACTCAACTGGCGCCGATCATGATCAATAGGCGGATCAGCGTTGCAGTGATTTACAAGAGAGCCTCCATCGGCGAACCACGTTCCTCGAACTAAGCTCGATGCCAGGGACACCCACTGGGCACGATCCTGCCGATTCGGCCACATCTCGAGCTGGAGGGGCATCGCCGCACACGGTCAAGTTCGCAGGCCGGAGCAGCTTTCCGCTGCCGTCGTCCATTACTACGTTCCATCGTCCTTCTTAGCGCCGCGCAGCAGGGGCTAGGGGGAGGGGGGAAGGCTTCTTAGAGGAGCCTGCTTCTTAGATGGCGCTAGCCTTACACATACAGACACAGCCCGCACCTTCTAAGAGGATATAAGAAGCTGGGGTGCTCCTGAGAAGCCTTCCCCCTCCCTCTACTCCCCTCTACGCGTGGCTGACCTTCTGCGTTGTCGAACTCGATAGCCGTACCGAACTGGCCGTTCAAGTGAGGCTGCGCTCTGACACCACATACAGTGACCCTCGACCCTGCTGTGATGGCCTGGGTGCTTTCTGGGCAGCCTGCCTGTGGAGTATGCTCGATAACACACTTGCTACTCAGAGATAATTGCGCTATATCTGGTTCCAGAACTAACGGCGTTACATCCGCGCGAGCGACTGTTGGAGCCGCCTCTGTCGAGTCAAATGCTGCCAAGTTCGCTGGCTTAAACATCTTCCCACAACCATCACCCATCAATACCTTCCAACGGTTCCCGATCTCGTCGAACTCGACTGCCGTACCAAGCTGACCGTTCAAATGTGGTTCGGCTCGGATGCCAGATACGACGACAAGTGATCCAGGCATAATCACATGACGATCCTCGGAACTATCTACTTTCGAAGCGAGCTTGCTAGCATCGCTGCTCCCAATTGCGGGCGCCAGCTCTGACTCAGACGCAGCTGGAGCCGGCGCCGCATGCTGGAGACTCGTCACATTGGCGGGCCTGAACCTTAGGAGCCCCCCTCCGAACCAAGCTGATCCAAGACCTGCATCTGCTCCTCATCCGGCAGATCATGTCCAGCTCAGACTGCGCGGCGCATCCTGCTGGTCGAGGGCCCGACCAACTGTCCCGATCTCGATCGTCCGACGGATCGGCCAGCTCAACGGCCTGATTGGACCCCGACCTCCGGCTCCAAACTCCTGAGGCCCGAACATCTTGCCGCTCCCGTCGTCCATCGCCACCTTCCATCGCCCCTCTGCCTCGTCGAACTCCACGGCCGTGCCGAGCTGGCCGTTCAGGTGAGGCTGCGCTCGGAGGCCGCACCTCAGAAACCTACACCCATCGGTCGGAAGAAGTGGGGAGATCCATGAAGCAGGACGGCGCTGAACGTGGATTGGGTCTCCGTCCGCCCCCTGAAGAGGAGGGAAGAGGTCGAAGCCACTCGATCATTGAAGCAGGAAGGCGCTGGAAGAAGATTGGGACCTGGGAATCCAGAACTACCTACTTTCAACGACCGATGGGTACGCCGATCCACCCGCCCCGTCCTGACAGAAGGTGAGCGGCACCCGTGCGGCAGAATGCCACGAACGGTTCTGCGCGCGGCCGCGGCGGGGGGCCACGAGGGACGCCGGGCCGCCGCTCGCGGGGGCAGGGGCTCGTGGGTGCCGCGACGGGCCACCGATTTTTCGGTGGAGCGAATCCGCACGTTCCAGGGCGGGGGCGGGCTATCCAGCCCCTTCTCGAGGGGAGCGAGCAATTTCATCAGCATGAAAACTCGGAGGCCCACGCGGATTTCTCGGATCGGCGCTGGGGTCCCCTGGCGGCGCCTCTGGCGCCGCCCCTGGCGCGCTCCGCGCGCCAGGGAAGAAGGTCCATGAAGGTCCAGCGCGGATCCAAGAAATCCGTGCGGACCTCCAAGTTTCTTTGTTTGTACCATTGTCGTTCCCCTACTGTCGGCGATGAATGGGCGCATTGTGGAGCGATGCGCTGCCCTCTGAGCCTATCCCCCCTGTGACCTTGCCCCTGAGAACCCCAATGGCCCGATCGGCAATTCGTATGTACCTCACGGGCGCGCTGATAGGAGTGATCCTGGCCGAAGGTGTCCTCAGGGCTGCCCAGAGAAGCCCCAACGGC